TCTTTCCTGCTTATGCAGGGGGTCGGACTCAATGATCTATTGAGGTCCCTTCCGACCCTAACATCTATGAATCTATGAATCTATAAGATTGGTCACCTCAGACGGGGTGATTTAGCCCTTTAAAAGGGGTTGTTAACCAAAATCAGGGTCTTCAGTTTAGCATTTGCAGTTGCTGCTGTTGATTATGTACAGGAAACCCTTGCTATTCACAAACTCCGGGTTTATGGATTCAAATATTCATGGGGGGGCAGAGCCAGGAGGCAGGCGGAGAGTGAGCGCTGGGGATGTGAAGGGAGGCAGCAGCGGTTGCATCTTCAGCACTGTATTTGCACCTGTGGATGAGGAAGTAATAGGGTGTTCATTGTCATGGTCAGTTATTGACCAGAGCTTAGAGACAGGACCTTTCCTGTCCAGTTCTTTTGTTCTGAGAGGTCCAGGAGTGGTTCAGAGGAGCAGACCAGGGGTCTGGGTCTTCAGCTGCTGCTGTTGAGTGGAGTGTTCTGGCTGTCTTCTCCTTGAGAGAGTCCAGAGCACACGGTGTTTGATTTTGATTCTGAGAGAGCTTGTAAAGACAGAGTGTCTACTTCTGAGACCTGGAGGCCAGCTGAAGGAGTGTGTGAGTGTGATTGTGAAGTGTCTGTGTCAGACCCCAGGCTTCCTCTTCAGAAGGGGAGCTAAAAGGCATCTTGCCTCCCTCCTTGAGACAGCCTAAGGGCTGGAGGGCCTGGGAGGCCCATAGCTTATCCTTATTGGTTATTGATGTTGTTGATTGCATTGTTGCCATTATTGCTTGATTTTTGTCCCTGTTAATAAATATCACTTCCCTATTGGTGAATGGAAGTGGTTATTTTGTTAAAGGATTAAACTGGCAAATTATCAGGGTCTGATAGATGATCTACGCTCGTACCTGCCCCAGTCATAAATGTAACTGTTGATTGATCCAGGTGGAACCCAATTGTCCAATTTTGACTGGCCATACAACAGTTTGGTGCTTAACCTAAGTCTCAAACTGCATGTTGGTTTTTCCCCAACCAACATTCTAAGACAGCCGAGCAGGAGTGGTTGGGTGGGTGTGCTGCAAGCACTCCTAGGATTGGCATGAAGTTACTGTAGATGGGCTTTCAGTGTTGAATGTCTAACTTTTAGATTGTTGGCCCCTGTGCACACCCCAAAATCCTGAGTTAAGTGTCTGGGCTCAGTGCACAGTGCATGAAGAAAGCTAGGTCCCCCAGAACAGCAATCTAAAATGACCAGCATGATAAGCAAGGAGCTACACAGAGCTAGCCAGAGGGAAATGCTGGAGAGAAGGGTCTTTGAAATCCCAGAACTTTTTAGGCCTTAGTTACTTGACTCAGAGCTGCAGGAAGGCACTTCCATTCACTAAGGATCCATAGCCTATTTAGTCATGTTTTGTGATCTAGGCCCCTGGCAGATGTTAAAAGAATGGTGCAATTAGGATCGGGAGAATTTTATGCCCCAGCCCAAACATTGTGCCACCTACAATGCATGCCTGGCATGGTGATGTTTAGGCTGGGGCATAAAATTCTTCTGATCCAAATTGCACCACTGCAGAGTCCCTCCTAGCTTGATCCTGCAGATCATAGTTCATAGTTCATAGTTGGTAGGGTTAGAAGGAACCTGAGCAGATCATCAAGTCCGACCCCCTGCCATGGGCAGGAAAGAATGCTGGGGTCAAATGACCCTGGCAAGGTGATTATCTAGCCTCCTTTTGAAGACCCCCAGGGTAGGAGCGAGCACCACTTCCCTTGGAAGTTGGTTCCAGATCCTAGCCGCCCTGACTGTGAAGTAGTGCCTCCTGATGTCTAGTCTGAACCTACTCTCAGTCAACTTATGGCCGTTATTCCTAGTTACTCCTGGTAGTGCTTGGGGGAACAAGGTCTCCCCCATTCCCTGCTGGTCCCCCCTGGTAAGTTTATAGACAGCCACCAGACCCCCTCTCAGCCTTCTCTTGTGAAGGCTGAACAGGTTCAGGTCCTGTAGCCTCTCCTCATAGGGTCTGCCCTGCTGCACCCTGATCATGCAAGTGGCCCTCCTCTGGACCCTCTTGATACTGGCCACATCCATTCTGAAGTGCAGCGCCCAGAACAGGACACAGGACTCCAACTGTGGCCTGACCAGTGTTGCATAGAGGGGGAGGATCACCTCCTTGGACCTGCTCATGTTGCAGAGTTGGATCTGCTCCAGACCTAGGGCTGCCCTCAGCCCCAAGCCACTTCCAGACCTGAGGTTGTCAAGGGCCAGGGCTAAGAGTCAGCTGACTGTCCTCACTGACCCCAGACAGCCCCAGGTCCAGTTTGAGACCTCAGCTTCTCTGAGGCAGTGCTAACAATCAGCTGATTGTCAACCTCAGCCCTGGAACAGCCCTCAGTCTAGCCATGCTACACATTCAATTTATAGCACTATACAAACAAGCCATAAAGATGTTCCCTATATTGTGCAGAACAACTTTGTGACTGTTTTGCCACTTTATGGCACCATAAATCAGCTGCAGATGTAGGATTGTTACTATTTATTGTACGATTAACACATTAATCTCACTATAATTGTAACATGGGCCAGAAGTCTTAGGTGCCTAAAACCATAGAAATGATAACTAGATTTTAAAGGGATTTGGGCCCTGAATTTGTGTACTGTATATATTTGCCCACTGTATGGCATTGCCTTAAGATATCCTTATCATCTGGGGAGGTGTCATCCAGAAGTAACATTGTATACATCATTAAGCATATGAAATATCAAACCTAAAGCACAGATCAGCTTTAAATTACTGGTACCAAGAAGTAGAATATGATTGTTTACAGTTGTATACATAGAATTTGATATGATTAATCTGCTTTTTTGGTGTGGAAAAACAAGTGTACAGATCATATTAGGAAAAACATTTGCTTCGGTGATGCTGCTTGTTGACCTTGAAGGTCATCTGGGATCCAAAGTAAATCTGAGTAGCCCCTGTCCAAACCCAGTCAAATCTTTCAATGGAAGGAGTATGAAGGAAGAATTGTATTAAAAGAGCAATGAACACTGATAGCAAATAAAGGCTACTACAGTGTGAATAATGCAGCAACAAGAACATATCTAGATATATATTTATCTAGTCCAATATTTACTCATTTAAAAGAAATTTAAAAAATCTTAAAACCCCAGATTCTAAAATCTTAAATTCTGAAATCTAAGCCTAGCTTCTTAGGAAAATCTCATTCAAATTTCAGAGATTAAGTTCTAAAAAGCACTGGTCTCCATACATCTACAGCTGGGAGATTCAGCACAAAGGTAGCAAGAGGAACATCATCTTAGGGGAAGGCCTCCCTTTTCATTCCCCTCCTCACTATCTAAAGCTAAACAAAGGTTCAATTATGGTTGAAAAGGATGTGACTTTTGGCATGCTATGTTCAAACTGGAACTATTACCTGTCCTTAAACCACCAATCGATATCCAGGTCTCCTAGAACTGACTTAAACTTTCCTATACTTCTAACATTGTCTCACCTGTGACTCATCTCTTCTTTACACAACTTCCTGTAGCCTGATTTATGTTAACTTGGCCTAACTTAAATTTACCTATTCCTAGAAAACAATCCAAGATCTATTAAAGATAGATTTATGGTACGAAAGCTAAAACAACTTCATAAAAAACTTCTAAAAAGGCTGCATGTTTTACTCTTCAAGCCTTGCAGTATATTCCATATTTTATCTTTTCTCCAATCTTAGTTCCTCCTAAACACTCTTCAAATTTTCTGTCCATTTCTTTGTTCTGAGCTTCAGTAAAAAACTCTCTCCAGCCACCAACAATTCCTGCAACCACAAATAAATAAATACATCATTATCATTTCTTGGCTGAAGTTATTACTAACTTACCATTGTAAATTGATATTTTTGGCACATCACAATGTGTAAACATCCATCCATATTCCTAAAAATATATCATTTGGTTTGGTAAATCTACATTTGTGGCCTCTGGCCTGAGACTTTTTTTCAACAATATAAGATGTAAATAGAAGAAGCTATTCTGCACATTGGGAATTCAAAAAAACTGCCATAGTTCTTTAAATTCTTTTTTTATCATTTTGGTCATACCATAGCTGTGAAATATCTTGCATTACAAACCTCCAATTTGTTATATACAAGATTTGTTAATGAGATGTGTTAATGCCATTTGTTAATGGCTCAGGATTATTTTTTGTCAGTTGGGCATACAGTTTGGGAGTTGTTACAGAATTTTGAAGTTTCCCTCAGATTCTGATGGATTTTTAAACTGCAGCAAAGGTTGAAAGGAAAATCCAAGTTTAATTAAAAAATAAATAAATTACCATGTATAAAGCTGTAATAAATTAGTACAATTCCTTTGACCCACATGGAGCTACATCCATTTATACTACTTTGTATTTGACCTCAAGTCTGCAGCCTTTCTTCCAAAGACAGCTTTAAAATTGTAAGCTGAGCATAAATATTGCTCTCAGAGTCCACACCTCTGCCTGACCTCTCAGAACCTGCTCCTGCTCTTAGAACCACATGCCTGTCCCCCAGCCTGCCCAGAGTGTCTGCCTCAGATGCTAACTTTTCTTGTTATACCACTGAATTTACCTTTACGGAAGATAATTTTTCCAAACAAGCCATGGGTTTCTGGGGATTTCTCTTTCATAGCTTTGAAGGTGCTCTTCTCTGCAATGGTCTGGATCTCATCATCACTGAGGGAGAATCCAAGGAATTCGGCTATCTTTTTCATTCCCAAAGTCTGGTTCTAAAGAAAGGAAGATGCATTTGTATTGTGCCTGTAGAATGACTATATTAATATCTCTGTGAGCTCATGCATAGCAGACTGACTGTAAAAACCGTGTCTGTATGTCTTAAGCATTGTAAGAATTCTAAGCATTTTAATATACAGGGAATATATGCCCAGTGGGGCTAGCCCCAAATTCATTACTCATGAAAACAGGGAGGTTTTTCCACATGAGGAGAGGGATCTGTGTGTTTTCTGTGGAGCTCTTTGTCCAAATAAGTGCTAAGGCATAGAAAGCTGGACTGAACTCTAAGTTATGCCATGTAACTTAGTTGATTTCATTACAACTTTTTGCCACTTGGTATCATTACAACTGAGAGTTTACTTGTGCATGTTCATACACCCAGGAATGCTGAAGTAAAAGGCAGTGAGAACAACTTGGAAGGAGGTCTCTATAATCTGTTGGTTCTGCATAGAGGGTCTACTAAAGTCAATACAATTAGAAAGCTTCCTTTTGCAAACCAATTGGAAGCATATTAGGGACCTTGGGCTCCCAAGTCTGACCTGAAGAGCTTGAGACCAAGACAGCCTGGAAGACCAAACTATGGCAGATGAAGAGCCTCTATGCTCAGGCTTCCCAGTAGCTCTCCAGGTGAGCTGCTGAAAATACAGGTGCTTGGAGACTGGGAAGGTTCAGCTTTATTGTTGGGGCCAGCCTAAGAGCACCAGGACATATGTAGATGGGTTAGCAACAGGAAATCATGCAGGCTGGTCAGTGGCCCAGCTATTTGCTGTCCTGGTTTCTGCCAAAGGTACTGGCACCCTCTGTGTGTTCTTATGGAATATTTTAAATCTGTTATAAAAGTATTTTGTGCTGGAGGAGTTTTCTGATGGAAAAATGTCAACTACCTCCAATGTGTGTATGCATTGTATAGTGGTGATTTCTCATTGAATTAATTTAGTACTGGACTTAGGTAGCAAATAACAGGCATAGGAGAAATGAGATTGCCCAAGTTTTGGGCAATTTTAATTCTTTAAATCACCCCTCAATGACCTTGTCCAAACTGCAAATTAAAAGTACTTTTTCCACCAGATGATTACCATCTTTGTATTCTTGGACCTATTATGCTTTGTGGTATGTCAGCATAATAATAGGAAGCCATGCAAACTCCTGATTTGAGAAAGTACGTTGTAGGTTGTAACCACCTTCACTCTACGAGGTGTCCCCGCGCCGCCCTTGCCCGGGCCCAAGGTCTTATGTGCCCTGGGCTCACGGGTGGACCCCAGAGGTTACCCCTGCTGATGTCGGGAGGACCCCTGTACTCGCCTGCCACGACTTTGAATGTAACTTCAGTGGGGGGGTCCTCCCATGGGTAGCTCCTAGAGTTGGCGCGGTCCCCCGCAGGTAGTCTTGGGGCTCTGTCCTTCCCTACCCCCCAGCCACTCGCCACCTATAGCTCTGCCCAGTCGTCAATGTTGACCTTCAAGCCAGGTGTCCGGCTCACTGGGACGCCGGCCTGGCCCTTTTGCCCCAGCACTTGTTCCAATCCTGCAGCCCGTGATGCAGCCGGTTCCTCTGTTAGCTCCTTTGTCTGCAGTGCAATCGGTTACTTCACCGATGCTACCGCCTCCAAGGCAGCCAGGTACTCCGCGGTTCCTGCCGCTTGTGAGGCAATGGGTTTCCTTACCCGCTCTGCTGCCCGTCACCCGATCAGCACCTCCCGCTCCCGGCTGCCTCACTGGCTCTGCTGTCTGCTGTCCTGTCAGCTCCTCCGGCTCTGTGGCCGGTGTTATAGCCGGGTTCCCCACCTGCTCTGCTGCCTGCTGCCCAGTCGGCTCCTCCTCCAGCTCTGTTGTCGGTGCTGTAGCCGGTTTCTTCACCAGCTCTGCCAGTAACTGACACACTGGCCCTTCCACCAGCGCTGCTGCCGGTTGCTCCGCTCCGTCTCTCGGAGCCGGCTCTGGCTCCGCCCTTTCCTCTCTCTGCCGCCGTGTGTGGCGGCTGCTCCTCTTCTCGCTCCCACTCGCTCCTCCAGTCTCCTTCTCTCATCTGCCCCGCCGCCTCGGTGGGGCAGCCTTTTGTTCTTCCTGGGAGGCGTCCTCCGCCCCCGCTACTCTGCTGCAGCCAGATAAACGCCCGGCTGATTACCTGCGTCGGCGTTCTCGGCATGTGCGCTCCCTTTAGCTCTTCCGGCTCTGTGGGCAGTAAGTGGGACCCTTTGCTGCCCTGGGGTTCTTCTGGCGTCCCAGCTCCCCTGGGACATAGGTAAATGAATTTGTATGTTCCATCAGTATTTTGCACACTTTACATTCATTTAGGTTTCAACCCCTTGCATGAGTTTTGGATAAACAAGACTATATATTAGGCCTGTGCGAAGCTTTGGTTGCTGATTCAATTCAGAAGAGATTCAGGCCAATTCGGTTACCAAATCTCCGGATCCAAATTGACTCAGGAAACCAATAAAAAGGTCCAAATCAATTCAACCTCTCTGAATCAATTCGGAAAAGATTCAGAGATTTGGAGATTCGGGCAGTCCCCATTCACCGCCCCAGGGAGCTGAACCTGGGCTCCGTGCCAGTAAGTAGCAGGGAGTGGGGCTAGAGGAGAGGGGAAGGGGCTATGGGGGGACACCCGCTCCATCCCCTGCCTGCTGCCCTAGCCCCCCTGAGTGCCCCCAACCCCTGCCTGCTCTCCCAGCCCCAACAATGGCTGCCCTGCCTGGCCCCAACACCCCGGCACTTAAAAAATTTTTAAAAAGCCCTGCACTCACCCACTGCTGCAGCAGCCATCAGGGCCTCTGGGGGCTCATGGCAGCCCTTGATAGTGTCAGGGTTTGACCACAGGAGACAGTCTTAGATAAAGGAGGCTTGAAAACAAAAGCAGAATCAGAGGACTAGGGCAAAGAGCTGATTTGAATATTGAGAATCACACCCCTGGGTGGGGAGAAAGTATGCTAATGAAACATACATGTATGGAAATGAGATACATAGCTAAAACACAGGTATAGAGACATGCTCAGTAAAGAACTCCTTGCGTCACTCCCTTATAACCAATTAGCAAACAAGAATGCTTATAAAGGTCCAATCCTCCTGTATAAAAGATGCTCATAATTAAGACTCTGTGTGCTTGTTACGTGAAATTATTCCGCTTGCACCTTGTATTGCTAGCAATAAATCTTTATACTTTCAGCCCTGGTATCTTTATTGGCTTTTGCATACCGGGCACGATCCCAGACTTGAGCTGGGGCTCAACAGTAGGATGGGGCCACGAGCACCATAAGCCACCTGAACCCTGGATGCTCAACAAAGGAGAAGGTCTGGCCATCCAGAGCAAGCATCTCCCCAATGCTCTAGGTGATCTCGCTCGCGTTGGGAATGCACTCCCCTTTGTCTGTGCCTTTCCGCCACTGGTCCAGGGTGGCCTGCCTCTGCTTCTTGGGGATGGGGGCTTAGGAGAGAGAGGGGGACTTCTTTTTGGGTATGCTCCCACTGGTGCCAGGCTGAGAAGGAACAAGGGCAAGGGGGTGCTGCCTCCTGAGATGAAGCAGCATTGCTGTGGTGGTGAAGTGTTTCTCATCCTTGCCCTGGCTCATCTGCTTTTGGCAGTGCTGGCAGGTAGCATAACTGGAATCATTTGCCATGTCAAAATGATCCCACACTGCACTACCCCTGCCAATTCTGGGGTGAGGGTGGGGATCCTGCCTTATCCCCCTCCTTACCAGGCAGAGGCACAACAGGAGGAGGAGCTCAGCCACCTGCCCCCACAACCTCCTTCAAAGTGCCTTCCAGAAGAGACCTACCTCTAAGGGAACTTCGAGGGGTGTGGAACGCAAACTCAGATCACTGCAAACTTCTATAATTGTACAGTCCTTAGTGTAGACAGAAATGGAGCTTCAGGTGGGTGCCAAGAAATTATCAATTAAGAAGACACAGGGTTGAATTCTGCTAGTCGACATGGCAGCTTTCTAACAATGTAAGTGGCATTTGTAGAACTTGTACACCAGTAGTGATACTATGACCCATGCCATGTAGATAGGTGAGTGTGCACAGGCAGACTGAGTATGAGCACTAGGCTTTGAACTGGCTAGGCACATATATGACTATGTACATGTGCCCATTATGGATGTGCACCTGTATTTAAGTCACAAAAATGTAGCCAGCCAGAAACCCACGGCTGTGGGGAAGGAAGAAGGCAGGGTAGATATACACCCTGTAAACCAGTAATACCCAAAGGATGTGCTGAGACATACTACTATGTTGTGAGAGCAATGGAAGTGTGTGGCAAGCTCTCCCTGTGTGAAGAGGTAAATGCTTTCCAACCCCAACTGGCACCCTGCGCCTACCCCAGCTGCTTCAGTGGCACCTGCAGCTTCTCCTATGGAGACTACTTCTGCCATCTTCCCCCATGTCCCCTGCCCCTGTGGAGCCCGTGTGATGGAAACCTCCTCTTCCCCTGCCCAACAACTCTCCCAGCAGCATGCTCTGAAAGGGCAGGCAGATGCACAGACTGAGCTACATTTTGCAGCCCAGCTCATTCCTTCCACTTCTCCCACCATCCCAGGGTTGGTTAGAGGGGTTGTGTGCATGATCATTGTTGTGTCAGACCCTGCAGGAGCAGCAGGGGCTGCCGTTACCCCCTAAGTTACAGTCCCGG